GTATTCAAGCCGACACCACTCACAGCATGGGTCCGCCAGACGATAGGCCAGCCACGTGCCCGGGATATCCTGCACAAATTGGACAGGTGGGTGTCCCGAAGTGAGGCCTGCTCGACCCACTGGCCTGCGCCCAGTGGCGAAGACAGACCTGAAGGCAAGCTAAGGGAACCGCGAGATGGAGCTAGCAGCCGCTTGGTAGTGGCAGTCTCAAAATCTGAGAGCCCGTCGGGTTGCAGACCAGCTCCTGGTGGTGGAGGTGGGCATCGTACCGAAGCAGGACCAGCAGCAGATGGTCTGGTGTGTCGAAGGCACACCAGACAGTGCTCAGGTCGATCAGTCAGGAAAGCGTCTGGCCACCCCTGCCAGGGGTGATGTCTTGAGCAAACATCACGAGTACAATAAGCATGCAGCAAAGTGGGGCCTGTTGCCAGTGCAGCTGACATACCTCGAGGCACGGTGCATCGATAATCATCACGGTGTGGGGAAGCACCGTAGGTCCATGTGAGCCCGACTGGCATTGTCGTGGATGTGCACACTGGGCGTTCAAGACCTGGATAAGCACATGGAAAAGAGCTTAGGTGCCTTTCAAAGCCCCAGTAGATTAACGAAGGGACCTGCAAGGATCCGGGCGTGCCGTCGGGCATCCGACATGTCGGAAGGTACAAGCCTGATAGCCACAAATGTTGCAGGCAGTGGCTGTGGGAGGGAGCAACAAAGGTTTGGGAGCAGGGAACCCACCGAGGTGGCTGCCCGAACCTAGGTGCAGAGGTCTGCAGCTCCAGGTGCTCAGTAAATCGATCCCCGCCTGTGTCAGCTTGGTCTGGCGGAGCCACCAGTAGGCTAGGCCTGAGAAGAGCGAAGACAAGAAACATGGCAGGTCGATTTGAAGGGGGCATGTGTTGCCACTTGCAAGACTGGCTAAGCCGATGCAGACGTGGACATGATGAACAGTAGGCTGGATCCTTGTATGCAGCACTGGATGAGGCAGCTGAGTCCGTGTGAAGTCCAGCGGCTCTATTGGCCTGGAAGATTTCCTCCATCTTCCTGGCCATCCTTCTACGGACACGTTCTTGGAGCTTGGCGGCCTTGATCGTCCCAGTGCCACGGCCTTTGGCTGCAGTTGAAGAGGTCGAAAGTGGTTGGTCAGCCGGATTGTCCGTGACATCAAACCAAATCGATCGTCTCGGCTTGGGCCTTGTCTGCATCCTCCGTGGTTTCGGAGAGGAGGCGTCAGATCGAGCCCGTTTGGGTCCTCGTTGAGGTAAGTCTGACGGGAGGGCCGAGGTAGCAGCCGAGACCGTGGTCGAAGCAGTGGGAGTCTCCGAGCTATTTGCCGTGGCCGACTTAAGCACCAGATTGCCCGACTGTATGGTGAGCTTCGCTTGTGCTGGCGTCCGGTCCTTCTCCAGTTCAGAAGGGATGTGCGACAAGCGACCGCGTGCTTTAGGCGTCGGCTTGAGTCGGCCTTTGTCGTCGATCGCCGGGTCAGACCTCGAACTGGAGCTGGGCAAAGGCCTTGAAGAGGCAGACAGTGCCGTAAAATCCACAGTCTGTAACAGAGGTTGGCCTCGCGTGCTGGAGTCCATTTGGCCTGCACAGCAGTTCCATCGGGCAGCATGTTCTCGGAGCGCACTGAGAGCCAGAGGGCCACCAGCTCCACCGATTCAGCACTTTGTATAACCTGATCAGTGCGCTTGCCATGCTTATTGCTCCCCGAGGGAGCATACACCACCTCCCACTTGGCAGCCCAAAAGAGACCATCCCCACATAGTGGTATCCATCGCATGTAGTTCTCCACCTTGTGTTGCAGGCTGTCTCGGTGCAAATACACCCCTGGACAGCCTGCCAGGAACCTGTCACCCTTCGACTCATCGGTGCTCGGGAGAAGCTGGCCATGGTAGATAATGGAGGAAAGTGCCTCCATCTTGCATCCGTGCCAGCCCCGTAGCCAACCATCCTGACACAGCAGCTCGCAGTGCGAAGGTTCCAGCGGTGTCCACGGGATTCGCCACCAACCATCAGGTTGCGGGACTGGGTCACCAAGTAAGGAGGCAAGGGATGTGCCATCTGGGCCTGGCCGTGTCCTGAAGAAGCTCTGCAGAAATCCTTCCACGTCCAGAGTACAGGCAGGAGCACTCGGCGGTTGTGGTAGCTGTGACCTGGCTTTGGCTCCCCAGATCAGTACCCGATCTGGAGTGGCAGGTAAAGCATGATCTGCCAGGTTCCACTCAGAAGGGCCACCAGAGGATTGAGGATCAAAGGCTGGAGCAGGCTTCCTCTCTGTAGTTGGTGCCCCTGTGGCTGCAGCAGAAGCTGACGGTTGGGCCTCAGAGCTCGTAGTTCTCTGCCGAGCATCAATTCTCACCCTCTTGGGAGGAGGTGGACTAGGAGTGCGAGGCTGTGGTATCGCAGTCCGGCCTCGCCTGGGCTTGGTGGGCCCACTCTCCTCTTCCTTCGGAAGGACCAGGGCAGGCCGTGGTTTGCGCCAAGTCACCTGCTTTGTCCCCGGGTGGTAGTAGAAGGACCGATCGCTAGCTGGGTCAACGTGTTTTTCCCAGGGTGCCTCAAGCGAAGCATCTTCCACCGGGGGATGGGGCCAGCTGGACTCCGTTTGGGTGCCGCCGGAGGCACCATGGTCTCCAGGGCCTGGTAGCCAAGAAGGTAACGTGCGCTGTAGATGGTTAATGGTGGGGGAGCACATCTCCACCTCAAACTCGGCTCCATTCCATCACACATGGAAGCTTGTGTGGCTTCCAACCCCAGTCGGGGAGCGAGGTGCTCCTTGTCGATCGTAAAAATACGACGTTGTTCATCGCGAGGGCCTTGTATCATCCGCACATTCCGTGTGGTGTTGCGATCACACTCCAAGGTAGGGAGCACAATCGCTCGGCGGCCGACAAGGTGACGTCTGTGACCGTCGATCACCTCTACTTCGGTCCCCACTGTAAGCGGGACGAGTGCTGCCTGCCAGTGTGGCTCCATGATCCCTCGAAGGGCACAGGTAGGGCACGCTAACACAGAGTAGTCCTTTGACTTAAGAAGTTGTGGAGTAGATACCTGCGAGTATTCTGCAAGAGGTCTCCCAGCCCTAAGGGATGCAAAGCGGGCAGGAGTTGTGGCAGGCTGCTGGGGTACCACATACTCATCCAGAGTCTGCAATGAGGCTTGGTTTGTGGAGAGCTGCAGGCACACGCGGTATCCACATGGTGAGGCTGCAAGATGCATACAAGAGCACGGCAGAGTCTCATGTTGGCTGATCACGGGTTGCAGCAGCAAGACTGAGATCCAAGCCCCGTGATGGGCAGGAAGGACACCGAAGTGGGCGTCTCGAGGGACCGGATACCTGTGACGAGCATCGTTAGGCATGGGTGCTCCAAGTGCAGATGGGGGGCGCCGCTGACCTGGAGCCTTCGCGAGGTCATCGAGGTCTGCCATGAGGACGGCCTGGGCATTACAGTCAGCATGGAGGATAGTCCAAGCTAGCAGTGACAGTTGGCTCCAAGGAGGTGTCAGTACTAGCACGCTGACAAAGACAGCACGTCTTTTGTGAGTCCAACTCGAGAGGCTGCTGGGCACAAAACGGCAAGTCTGCATACAGGAAGAGACGGCAGAGAACTGACAGCTGTCCTTTGCACCTGTGGTGCTATCTCTGCAGAAAGCTCGTGCCTGGCCACCATAAGACCTGGTGTCTTGTGGCTCAACTCGGTGGCCTAACCGTGAGCGTGAAAGTCCAGCCCGCCACTTTGGTCGTGATGGTGGCAGGCTGCTGCTGCACGTGTCCAGCTGGTGTACCCGAAACTCCCTCCGCTGCATTGACACTCGTTGCTGGGTGTGCAGTCGGAGGAGGCAGCAAGGTCGTAGTAGGCGATGGGAGCGTGGGAACAGCCCCCATTGCAAGAGTGATAGGCCCTGTGCTTGGTGGAGCACCTGCTGGTAAGCCCCCTGGAGCCATGGCAGCAAAGGCCTGCACCGGTGTTGTCGGAAGAGACGTGCAGGATGCCGGAGTCGGCGGGGGCGGCCCCGCGGGCTTACTTGTGGCACATCCAACGCTGCCTCTTGGCCTGTTGACCGGCACTGGGGGGGGTGGCCCTGCTGGAGCACTTGTGGTAGCAACTGGTGGAGCAGTGGCCTCCTCGCCTGAGCTCGGTGGGCTCGGTGGGCTATCAGATGAAGAGGACTCCGGAGCCACTGTTGCTTTGGCTTTTGGCCTTCCAGATCGCGACCTCGACGGGTTACCACGCCGTGCTTCCTTGGGTGACATCCTGGGCTGGTCGGGCTATGCAACAGCAAGGCTTGAGCACAGAAGGCGGCGCTCGGAAAAAGCTGCTCTGGAGTGCACCTAGCAACTGGCCACAAGGGTAAGAGGGACTGCGGATGCTGAGTGCTGGGCCAGGCACACGGGCTGGATGCTGTCCAATTAGGACACTGTGGCACAAAGTTTGAGCCCTGTTGCCATGGTGGGGCAGATGGAATCAAACAGGCAAGAAGCACAGCCATCATGCAGCCTACAGCCGTGTTGAGGTTGAGGCACTCAGACCTTCTAGTGCACCCATTACTGTTAAGGGTGGCAGGGTCCCGCTGTTTCGACAACATCTCTCTTTCTCAACCTGGCGGAGCCAAGGGGCTTAGCAGTAGCAGTAGTAGTAGTAGCAGTAGCAGTAGCAGTAGCACTAGTAGTAGTAGTAGTAGTAGTAGTAGTAGTAGTAGTAGTAGTAGTAGTAGTAGTAGTAGTAGTAGTAGTAGGTTCCCCAACAAAAGGACTCTCTCTTGCTCTTTTTGCAGGGGCTAAAGGGCACTTTGCAGGACTCCCTTGAAGGGGTTTCTTCCGGGAGCCTTGCAAAACCTTTTTCGTGTGTACGTGTCTTCAAGAATGCCCTAAACCCCTGATACCCTTAAACCCTCGAACTCTTAGACCCTGGAACCCTGAACCCGTAAACCCAAACACAAAACCCTCATAGCCCTAATCTGGCAGCCCTGGTGGAAAGAAAAGACCTCCGCTCCTGGGTCAGTTTCGCCTTCTGTGCCGTCAGCTCCCGCCACACTTCATTCTCCTTTTTCGGGTTTAGGGCTTCAGGTTTATGGTCTAGTGTTTACAGAGGATCTAGCAAATAGAAGCCTGAATTTAGTAGCCACACTACGACAAACATTCCCTAAAAGAACTATACTTACTAGTCCCCCGATCGTCCTTATAATAAGAACCATTATAGACCCCGTTATCGAACCCCTCAAGGGTGCTAAGTCCCCCGACCCTCCAAGTAGACGAAGTCCCAAAGAAAGCCCCGAAAATGAGGCGTCAAAGAGATCTTAGCGGCCGCTTTGAAGACTTTCAAAAGACGTGTAAACAGGGAACCGGGTTTTGGGTACTGCCCCCACTCAGTAACACTCGGACAATAGTCATAATATAGATATCTTAGGAACACTAGCCCTATGATAGACTGTTACTGTATGGGGGGCAGTACCCAAGGTTTAGGGTTTTAGGGTTCAGGGAAGTCTTCTTGAACTCAAGACATCGTCAAGAAATCTAACCGAGAGGGTGGAAGTACCAAAATAGCAGGACTTTCCTTCCCCCAAAACCCATAATTCATTTGAATGGTTTCTGGACCTTGCAGCCCTAGTATTTGAGCATTTGGACCCCTAAGGTTTGAACTCATAAACCCGAACCACCTTGAACCCCTACGAAGAACATAAACCCTAAGGCCTTAAAGCCATATTAAGCTTTAATTACAAAGCCTTATTAAAACCATATTACAACTATTATTATGAACAAGTGTGCATCCTTTCTTCAAGCGCGTTTAAACCGCTCTAACGCCCCACCTTCGCTTCTGCCGCCGCTGGGCCGGATGCCAGTCCAGAGTGCTCTGCACCCGAGCTGGACCTCACGGTTATGTTGCTTTAGGGTTTAGGCCTTAGAGCTTATAGGGCTTCTAGCAGTCCATCTATCTATCTGTCGACCTACGTACCTATCTACCTACCTATATGTCTCCTTTCTTGTCTAGGACTGAGGCCAGTGAGGGGCTAAGGGGGCAAACCCCGGTGTTCATGTTTTCTATCAAGGCCCTGTAATTAAGGGTTCTTTCATGCTCCTGTAAGCACGACCAGAAATTCCGAAACGAACCTGGGATGGAACCCTTGAAGAATGCCAAGCGTAAGGGAGAGGGTATACTACTATTTGCTTAAGAACCCCAAAAAAATAAAATATATATTCCTTATGGGGGTAATATAGGGATTATTATTTTTATTTTTTGGTGGTTTCTTAAGCAAATAGTAGTATATCAGGCCTAGTGGGAAGTTTCAAAAGGCGGAAGCATGGAGTACGGATGTTTGGGAGGACATTGCTGTCTTAGATTTCTGAGCGTTCTTTGAAGCCTCTCCAAACGCTGAGCCTCAAATACTCAACCCTACCTATAGTCTCCTTTGCAGTTTGTGTTTTTGGTTAACCAGTCTTATGGTTCGGATAATTTGGCTAGCCAAATGAGGACATACAACGGAGACTATAAATAGGTAAATTCGAATCCACGCGGCGGCAACCATCCACGAACTTCCCCTTCTGAGGTGAGGCACCTTGCATGTTGGCTTAGGGTTTAAGCTTTAGGGCTTTACTAGATGGTAAACCCCTAAACCCCTAAACCCAACAAATCCTAAACCCTAAACCGCTAAACCCTAAACCCTTAAACCCTAAAACCCATACTTTAGAGTTTCGGGTCGCACTCAGTTCGACGAGGTTGGTGCTGCGAAGCATTCGAAACCTATGCACAAGCAAGATCCTCTGAAGCACAGAAGTCCACAAGGAAAAACCTACACCCAACCCCTAAACCGCAAACTCTTGAAACTTAAGCGCTTACGCCTTGTACCCTACACCCCTAACTTGAAGCCCCCCCTGAACCCTCAACATAAACTGTGCCAGCGGCATACGTGGCTAGCACTCAACTCTACAGGTGCTGGATACAAGATTTGGTTCAGGTCTTCGGGATTCGAAGGCTTTAAGCGTCGGGGCGACTACGCTTGAGGCTGAGGGCTTCAAGTGTGTCAGGGCTCTGAAACCCGCAACCCGTCCAAGCCCCAACCCTCAAACAAAACCTTAAACCCTCAAACCCCTATGCTTTCTAAAACCCGAAACCCCAAACCCCTAACCTTTCTAGGTTCCGGAGTAGCCCCTTTGACAAAAAGGGTACCCCTTTTTTGCTAACATTCTACAAAGGGCAAAAGGGTACTACACTAAACCATAACCCTTAATCCCTAAACTGGGTTCTTGTTTCAGGAACATAAGTTAAGTTACGAAAATAGGAATCTACAGTAAATCCTACGAATTCCTTATTATGGTAACCTAGATTGAATCCCTTAACAACCACGCAAACCCTAAACCCTAAACCCTAAACCCTTTGGGGCTTGAGGGCTTCCTTGGTTCAAGCCGGCCCGTTGCTTAGGCATTATTCGCCTCATGCTCTCCGCCTAGGAGTTTCCGAGAATAGGGGGGCCCTGTAAGGGTTCCTTTAAGGGATCTATGAGGGTTCCCTATAAGGGAGATATGGGAGTTTCCGAAAATAGGGGACCCTAATATAGTACTCTTTTAAATAGTAGGGTCCCTATTCTAAGGACCCCAAAATCAGGTAACCCAAATTTTCTTCGGAAACTCCCACCTGGAGTTTAGCCTCTGGATATGAGGACTCGAATGGAGCTTTAATGATCACTGTAAGCCCGCATTGGCTGAAAGCCTAAAAAAGAACTTGCAAACACCCCGCGGGTTTAAAGCCTTGAGCCGTGAAAGCCTAAAGCTCTAAACCTGAATCTTGAAGGGACCCCCTATATGGGTGGTTGTCAAAATTAGGGTCCCTTTTTGGGTACCCTAAATTTTAGGTGCCGTACCATAATAGGGACCCAAAAAAGGGACCACAATTTTGACAACCATCCATATCTCCCTCTAACGAGCCCAGGCGCATCAGCGTCTCGCGGCCGTCCAGTCGATAGTCTGCATGGACGAGAGCAGCGACCTCGAATCGAAGGGTTTGTTGTTTTTTAGCAAAAAATGCTCTGTAAAGTTTGTTTTGTTTTATTTGGGTGTTCTACGGGCTCTATCACGGTTCGATGAGGTTTCTGTTGACCTTTGGAAGGTTTGAGGAATTACGGTTGAGGGTTTCTAACCCTGACCACCGAAGCATCTAAGCCCGACGGCCCACAAGCATCAAATCCCTCCAGCCTGCCACCCCCACTAGAACCCTGGATTAGTCGAGCATCCCCCGGCAAAATCCAGAGATATCCATTTCCCGCATCTAAGGGTAAAATCGGTAAATCCCTTGTCCCATACTTTTATCATGGGACCCAGGTTCCCCTAGCGGCCCCGTAACAGAGTTTTAGTAAGGAGACCTCAAAACAGATGATTCTAAAGTACTACTTGAGACTTAGTAAGTAGCTGTTTTATAGAGTCACAAGTACCCTAAAATAGAAAGACTGCAGTGGAGGTTTTGATACTGATAACTCCATAAGGTCCATAGCAAAAGCTATGCTTATTAAGCCCCCCGACCCTCCAAGTACTGGGTGAGCTAGGGCCCCCCAAAAAAACCCAAGCCCTCTCAAACTCCCCGAATCCTTACTTATAGGGGCCTTCATGGTATAGGTGTTTATGTAAATTTCCAATATTACTATTAAATTGTTATCATGTAGGGATCGAAACGGGGATGCAATTGCACAGTCTCCTGCCCCCCCCATAATGTTGGCGATGATACTGGAGTCTGAAAGTAGTCCTTGCACATGACCTCGCCAGTCTTCTCGTTGCGAACTTCGACCTTTCCTTGGCTTCTTCGGGATGCCAACTACCTCATAATTGGGTAGTTAGGCTTAGGATAGAGGTAATGTAGGATCGCCGTTGGCATAACAGATGCTTGCTACTCGGTAGGTACACCCGGAAGGACCTCGACAGCAGATACCTCAGATGGGTTCTTAGGAATTACGCCGTAGTAACACAAGCTCCCATTGCAATTACGGGTCCTACTTTCTAGACCCCCTGGGGTTAAGGGTCCCTTAAGGGTCCAAAACCTTACTTCCAGACCCCGCCTCGGTTTAGGGCTTCAGTTTTAGGGTTCAGGGGACACCCCAACGCCCTTAAACATCTTGCTGCAAGACACGAGCCCCAGACCGCCTTGAGGATATGGGTAGTTGTCAAAATTATGGCCCCTTTTTGGGGTACCCTACATATTGGGTGCCGTATTATAATAAGGACCCAACAAGGGACCCTAATTTTGACAACCACCCATATGAAACATGGACACCCCGCCGACTTCCACGGCATCCCTACGAAAGACTGGCCAAGGCATGCTACAAACTTTTACGGGCTGAGTACCCTAGCCCAAAAAAGGTTAACCTCAGCAATGGTAGGATTGTACAAGCCCCAAACGGTTAAAGGTTACCTACTCAGCCCCTACGGCTCAGGATATTGGGATTCGCCTTTCCAGATCATCCCGGTCTGGGCTTATGACCGACCTACTAAGTCAACTGTTTTGCGCGACCATCCCCAACAAGGATCCTCTACCCAGATTTCCGGGAGGATCCAAAAAGTAGATCCCTTAATGGTGGTTCCTATAAAGACCCTGTAGTAGCAAAGGGCCCCAAATTTGGGGATCTACTTTCTAGATCCTCCCGGGGGTCTGGGTAGTTAGGGACCCTATAGTACTAAGGGCACTTTAAAGGACCTCTTCTACCTTCTCTCATAGGGACCCTTAGGGGTGTAGGGGGGAGGGGTGTAGGGGACTATATTTCCTTAAATAGGCCTTATTCGTCCTTATTATGGGCATTAAGGCCCCCTACCCCCCCTCCCCCTACACCCCTAAGGGTCCCTATGATTCTCAATCCTTTGGAGGGTCGGGCTCCCTGAAAGCTGAACGTTTGGGCCTTTTGAAAGATCTACTTTGCTACTATTTGCTTAAGAACCCCCCAACAAATAAAACATATATTCCTTATGGGGGTAATATAGGGATTATTATTTTTATTTTTTGGGGGTTTCTTAAGCAAATAGTAGTTTGGGATTCGCCCAAGACCAACACAAATCCTACACCCTGGGAGGATCCAAAAGCAGCTCCCTCAAGGGAGTTCCTATGAGGCAGCCTTGAAGAAGCTCAGTAGTATCCGTTTCCGAGTTAAGGGATCAAATTTGCAGATCCTCGCGAACTACCAGGAAATCTTGCCCTACACCCAAAACCCCAAATGATCCCCTAAACCCCAAACCCTAATCCCTAAACCCTAAGCCGATCCCACACGAGTCTCCGTTCTCCCATCCTGCGATGAGCTCCGGAACGCCGTCGTTGTCTAAGTCGAAGCAGTCGATACCTTCCGGGTGGAAGTTTAGGGGCTACATAAGTTTAAGCATATTCACGAAACTCTCCAACTTACATCCTTTGTGGGTGGACTATTATTCCACTATGTGCTGTGGCAGACTAGAGGTCATAAAGCGATGGTCAGGTCTCGGCAATCGATTTGAAGTTGCTCCAGCATTCAACCGACTTTCACCTGGACGTCCCTAAACCCTAAACCCTAAACCTAAACCCTAAACCAAAACCCTAAACCCAAAAGGGCAGTAAAAAGGCCCTAACATGTAGAATCGGGTTTGGGGGTGCCTTTTCAATTTCAGTGTACACGATGACGAGTTAACACAATATTCAGGCCCCGAACATAACTACCTACCGGGAGCCCTGGATTACTATACTATACTAATACTATGCTATATTGCATTGTACTATATACTATACGATATACCACTTCCTACCGGGAGCCCTGGATGGTAGTACTTGCCTACACTAAGCTGCTTCGCCGCGAATAGGGTCCGTGCTTTGGGGCTTCGGTTTTGCAGGTGCGGGGTCGAGTCCTGCACTGTCTTGGGGACCCCCCTCTCAAGAAGAAACAAGGTTTAGGTTTAGGGTTCTCTAGAGAACTCGTAAGGTTCATAGGAGTATGAACCGAACTCGCTCAGGCACCAAGAGCCTGTTATGTGGATCAGAGACTGATGCGGGAGTTTGTGTTCCCGGGATGCTAGCAGAAACATCCTGCCATCTGTTTTGGGACTTTACCCTCAGGCTCGCATCACCTTAAACCTCAAAGCCTAAACCTACACTGCAAGACCCAAACCCAAACCCGAACATCGAAACCCTCTTCGGACACCAAAGCTCTGGAAGCTTGTTTGTGTCAGCTGAGATGCAGTTGACACGATGTTTGGACTTCACTCGCCACGCTCGGGAGAGCTTGTCCTCAAGCAAGGTTTTTGTCAACTCGTGGCATGTGGGCTTTGGTCTCGGATGAAGGTCCAGGATTTGTGGAGAAGGATCTCTAACAGCAGCAATTAGGTCGCTTCCGCAAAGGATAACCCGTCATGAATGAACATCGTAGACCCGAAGCTGTAGCTGCTGGGGCCCCTACGCAAACTCCAGATAGGGGCCTTAATCTTAGTTGTCCAAATTCTTAGGGAACTATGAGAACTTGAACTCGCGGGGCTATATTGGGTTCTGCAGCCCAAACCCACTTAGTAACCATTAGAACATGGTGTTGGGATGTGTCAGCGCATACTTAAAGCAGGACTAAACTGGTGACCAAATGTTAGTACTGAGCATTCCGATTGCTGGCTTGACTTGCTCCAGGAAACAGGATAGCCGGTTGACGACGGTGGGAATGTAAAGTAAACCCCGGAAAAGTTGAAGCGCTGCCCACTCAGCTGCTCAGGCAATGCTTTCGGGTTCAAGTCCTGAAGCATTGCACCGCCCGACTAAACCCCAAAGCCCTACCTGGACCCTGAAAACCCCACGACATGCTGAGGGAGCTGTGTAAGGAAATCATGATAAGGGGCCCTCAAAGGCTAGGTTATTTGAGGTCAAGGTAGACCGGAAACCACCAGGCCGAAACCCTAACCCTAAGATGGGTTAAGAGTTTAGGATGTAGGGTTCAAGCCTCGCATTACCAGGAATGACACCGGTAGAACACACCACGGCCATTCAAGCCCGGTCCAAAAATAGATTCTCAGGCCCTGAACTACAAAGCCTAAACCTGACACTAAACAATCCTTAGCTCCATACAAAAAACGAAAATAAACTCAAACCCTTAAAGCAAAAAGCCTAAACTCCGGCAGGATCTGATGTAGAATGTAGATCCCTAAAGGGGTTGTTTATATAAACTACCCAGACCCCCGGGAGGATCCAAAAAGTAGATCCCTTAATGGGGATTCCTATAAAGCACCCTTAGTAGTATCGGGTCCCAAATTAGGGGATCTACTTTCTAGATCCTCCCGCGGGTCTGGGTACTCTGAGCAGACCAGTGGGTTTTGCTTTGTAGATCCTCCCCGAAATCTGGGTGTAAGCTGGCTCCCCCTAAACTAAAAACCCTGAACCCTACACCCTAAACAAAAAGACCCAACCCTAAACCCCAACCCCAAACCCTAAGCCATCATCCCTGAACTAGAGCCCTAAAGAGTACCAGACATTTAGGTGCTCAGGTCCAAAGTCCCAAAGAGATCAAGACTAGGATACCCAGTAACCTAAGAATAAAAAGGCCTCTCTTTTGGTATTGGGTTTCTTTATAAGGAACCTAGGACTACAAAAAGGGAATAAGGGTACTACTGGGCATCCTAGAAGATCAGCCCAGCTGCATACACACCCACCGTGCCATGCATCAGCCTGGGTCTAAGGATGGTTGGATGCAGGGTTTTAGGGGGTTTTAGGGGATCCTAGGAGAGTTTTTTTTTTAAAGTGCAGTGGCTCTTTCTGTGCGATGCAGGAGAGTTTAGGGTTTAGGGAGCTTGGGGCTTAGGGAGTCTAGGGTGTAGGGAGTTTAAGGGTGTTAGGGAGTTTAAGGTATCGGCTGTTTAGGGGGTTTAGGGTTTTTAAGGTTTGGGGTTCAGGGTTATCCTGTACTTCTCGACACTACAAAGCCTCAGAGAACCCCTACATGACCCTTTGACCCTTTGATAGAACAGTTATCGAAAACCTAACGAACCCCGTATAGAACCCTTACAAACCTACTGTACTCACTCTTCTCCCTCCAGGAGACGACAGGCAACACAAAATCGAAAGTTCGAACAACAAAACCTCTAATCTGCAATTTATACCATGAAAGCGGGTGTTACCTTTAAAGATTCGGGTAGCGTAAAGTAGAAGAACACTCCTCATTACCTTAAAACAAAGTAAGCATAGGGAATCTCAGCACCATTGATCCGAAATCCGTGTTCCAACTTCCAGGAGCCTTCGGTTCACTACAAACCTGAAGCGCCGAGCCACGCGTAAGCGAATCGCGCCTTGTGGAGTGGCTCAATGCGCAAGACTACCTTCGCAAACGATCCCAACGAGCACTAATGTGTGGGAATGAACAAACTGCAATAGGGTTTTGGGGTATAGTTAAATGGGGTTTTGGGGTATAGTTAAATGGGGTTTTGGGGTATTGTTAAATGGTATAGTTAAATGGGGTCCGATATGGACTACCATCATCAAACCACTGATTCCGATCCCTACAGCCTCACAGGACCTGCAAGGCAGAACCTAGACGCAGTACCCAGAAAGCACAATGACAATACTCCCTAATTAAGGAGCATTCCTTAGAACATCAACCGTCTTATTTTCACTGAAAGAAGGTTCCTCAAGGTATGCAGCACGTTTCTGCATGGCTTAAGCAATGAATGCCTTGACATATGCGCAAGCCTTCCTATTGAAATTTTAGACATATTCTTGACTACAGAGTGCACGGCCCAATACTGCTAACACAGGGGCCTTACTGATTAGAACAGACTTCTGGGGCATATTAAACTATAAATACAATAAGAAAACCCCCCAGAACCCTGTTCTAATTATTAAGACCCCTGTATTGGCTTGTTGGGGCTCTTTTGGTGGAGGCGAAAGCTGATCTCAGTCAAGCCACATCAGTCTCGGTGATCTCCTTGAGAACTACCTCAGGTTCTCTTGAGCGAAGGGCGGCGCAACAGTAGGGTCTCGGCGTTCCAGGACCCCCCCTCAAGTGCTCTTGAATAGAGCCCTCATGGTCCTCAATAGTGGGTATTTCGGGTATAGTCGTGGGTAGTTTGGGGGGTCTAAGCTGCTGTACCAAGCATTATTGGAAGTCACACGATGCTGCAGCAACCTGGTCGGCGCTGCAAGCTGCCAAAAGGGACTTGTATTAATTTGGGGCATTATGGCATGGGACTAGAGGGAACGTGATCACCACCACTTCTTCGTGGCCTTTGAAAGAAGAGCAACCGAGCCTCAAGCCTCAAACCCCGACACCCCTGAACCCTGAATTCTGAACGCTTAGCCCCTAAACCCCGAACCTGGGTTCGTGTTATATAAGGAACCTAACTTGTAAGCCACCATAATCGGGATTTATCGTAAATAATTAAGTATAGGTTTCCTGAATATGCTAACCCTTCACAAGAACCCATCAATAAACCCTAAACTGCCCGAAACTCTGAATCCCCGAAACCTTAAACCCCAAATCCCCAAAACCCCTAAACTCTAAAACCCTGAGGTCCCCCCGAAGCCCTGAACTAGGGGTCGATTTCAACAAACCACGAAATTATTTAATGTAATTGTAGCTGTCTATCAAACAAGGGAAATGAACTACTGGTGATGATCTAATCAAGGACCCCAAACCTCTGGGAATTATGGTATATTCCTTATTATGGGTAGTGCAGGATTTATATCACAACAACCCTACTATTTGCTTAAGAACCCCCAAAAAATAAAAAAAAAAATCCTTATGGGGGTAATATAGGGATTATTATTTTTTATTTTTTGGGGGGTTTCTTAAGCAAATCGTAGTTTATATCACAACAACCGTCTTGCCCCAAATGGATACCTAGCAAACTGCAGGCTCGAAGCTTCGTTCTTGAAGGCTCGAATTTCGAAGTCCTCCGTGGTTGAGGGTCAGGGGTTTAGGGTTTAGGGTTAGGGGTTTAGGGGTTTAGGGTTTAGGGTTTAGGGTTTAGGGTTGAGGGGTTTAGGGTTGAGGGGTTTAGGGTTTAGGGTTAGGGGTTTAGGGTTAGGGGTTTAGGGTTGAGGGGTTTAGGGTTTAGGGTTGAGGGGTTTAGGGTTGAGGGGTTTAGGGTTCAGGGTTTAGGGTTGAGGGGTTTAGGGTTGAGGGGTTTAGGGTTTAGGTCCTCCGTTCCGCAGATGAGCTCCGGCTGGCCATCGTCGTCGACGTCGCAGAAGGCGAGTGCGCTGACGTTGTCACCTTCAAAGCTTACCCAAAAGGTCCACTTCCTCTATCATACATGCTTATAGGTTAGAAGGGGCCCCCACCCTGTAATCGTGACCATAAGGATTATATAGGATTATATTAGGGCCCTATTATATTCCTATTATACTACTATTACAGGGTGGGGGCAGCTTCTAACTTACAGGTCTACAAGGGGCTGACGCATAGTAGCCTCAGAACCAAGCCATGATCTACAAAAATTGCGTGACCCTACAGGGAACTCCAGAAACTTGGAATATGGAATAATGGTAGGATCCCCTGTAATTTTGCCTTAAAGGGGTTACGATAATGATATTCCAACTTTCTGGCTTCTACTGTAGCTATACTGAACTTAGAACCCTAGCAAAAATACAATTTTAGCTGTTTCTTAGGGATTATAATAACCCAAAATTAAAAAAATATTTCAAAGTACCCCTAAGACTATTTACTAAGTCCCCCGACCCTCCAAAAGTGTTAATATTTCTAAGTACCCCTAAGGTAGACCCTAAACCCTGAACCAACCGGCTAGAAGGACTCAGAGGCCCTCGAGGCCCTGAGTCGAATGCCATAAACCTTATACTAGACCCAAGAATAATTGGAGGATCATGAGACTTAGTAAGGGGTTATAGGTACCTGATTTGGGGTTATAAGTAATTATAAGTATAGTTACCTGAATGATAACCCTAGTCTAGACCCAAGAATAACCTACGAATAAAAAGGGTGCCCTTTTTGGTTTAAAGGGGCTTATAAGGGAACCTGAACCCTTAAAAAGGGAATAGGGGCCCACTCGAGGTCCTAGTATAGGAGCCCTAAACACCTATAATCTTTTTTTTACAGGCTGGCAAGCGAACTACTGTAAACAAATTATAGGAGCCCTAAACACCCAGAGACTCCAAAACCCCTTAACTAAGGAATCCACCTTAAATCTTATTACGGTTCCTATTGTAATTTAAGGTAATTATATTGCTTAATTATGGGTTTAGGGGAGTCCCTGGGCACCCAACCCTCAAAAGCCCCTCCCTATGAACCTAAACCCTATCGTACCCTTCACAGTATCCTTATAGGAACCCGAAGCCATAAACCCTCTAGGCAACACAAACTCGGATCCCTAACAACCGTGCCTGTGACGGTCCAGTAGAGCTCGCTGCCCTCTGCATCAAAGGCTTGGACGGAGCCTCGTTGAAGGGGTTTAGGACTTAGGGCCCAGGGTTTCGGGTGAGGTGAAGGGTGGGGAAAGCGGCTATTCCACGGTTTAGGGTTCATGTGTGGGCCTTGATGGCTAGAATCAGCTTATGGGGTTTAGTGTATATAACTGTAGTGTAGTTGTGTTACCCCAAGGGTCCAAGTACCTAAAAATTATATACTCTCCAAAATCATAATCTGCAGAACTATGATTGTAACACCGAATTAATTATTGGGTCCGTTGGACCCTTGGGGCTAAGGAGCGCTAAGGAACAATAGACCTAACTCTCCAGGCCCTTGGCAGACACTCGCAAAAGCTGAAGCCCCCAACCTTGAACAGTCTGAACCCGGACCCCAAAAGGATTTAACAATAGATCCCTTAAAGGAGTTCCCATAACGAGCCCCTAAGTAGTACAGGGTTCGGGGACCTGAATCTACTTTTTAGATCCTTCTGGTGGTCTGGGAAACGCCAGGTGGCAATTGCCGCCGACCACGCAGACAGGCTGCTCTATCGAAGCGAGGTGGCCGTAGGTGATGACGTTCACCTACCATAAGGATTTGGGGTTCAAGGACTGTCAACTATAACCCTAAGGGTCCAAAGGACCCAATAGTTAGGTACTTGGGTTTAGGATACTAGTTCTGTAGGCTACTATTTGGGAGAGTATATGATAATTAGGTACTTGGATCCTTAGGGTAAGCTGACAAGAAGAACCGTGGCCCCCGCTCCCCAAAGGGTCGTAAGTAACTATATAGTAAAATCTAGGATCAGGATTTCTGGGCTAGGAATTCTTATTCTCATTTGGGGAAGTACCCCACCTGACAGTGCCACCCATTGGGCTACCCTAGCAGCTGGTGACGCTAGCATGCTCAGCAAGTAGTTTCTTGAAGAGTTATTTGATTGGACTCTGGACTCTCCTATGCGACCTATCTTCTTGATATGAGGATAGGATTCATCTTGGCACTCGAAAAAGTCGTATGTTCACATCTGGTGGTACGATCCTCCAACTTGCAGGTGCTTGTGCCCAATGGGTCCTGGGTAGTTACTTGAGCCACTTTGGGGTTATGGATCCGCCAAGGTGTCGACATCCTGGACATCAAGCGGTCATACCGGGCAGCGAGAGGCCAGCCAAAGCCCCGCTGCAGCTTTTGCTATGGGTTTCTCTTCCTGTAGATTCACGTGTGCCGTGTAAAATGAAACGGCCATAGATTTCGCTTCCAAGGTGAATGACGGTGATTACTTCCTCAACTCCACACCCGAAATGGGAGTTT